AACCTCCTTAAAAATTCAAATCGCTCCGATTCAGCGCATCTCGCGGCTAATTTTGCCCGACGTCGGCGGTTGTTCCATCTCTAATCTTATTACGCCTCCGTCCAATTTTACTTCCGCGTCCCGACGCGCCTCGCCGCGACATGCGAAAAAGGCGATACAAGTGCCGAGCTGTCGCACGCACGGCCAGTAACTAAAAATACACGTCGAAGCGCGTAACGCGAGCACGGTATCCTCCTCCCCGTCGCGATTCGGCAGGAGTTTTCGCTCCTGGAGATCGTCGCCGAGCGATTCTCTCGCGGCAGAGAGAGAGAGAGAGAGAGAGACAGAGATACTCCGCGAGATAAAGGCTGATAAGGAGCGGCGCCGTCATTCTCTCGCGCGTACGCGTAATCGCCCGTGTCCTTCGCTCGTTGCGTAGTTTCCGGCCCGCGCGCCGAGCGCGGGACGACGCCTCTCGGGGACCCTCGCCCACGTCGCGACGCCCGCCGACTCGGACTCGCGTCCCATCCGACGGAGAGAGAGAGGTCGTTCCGCCCGCGGTGTCAAACGGCGGCGAGGGAGCACGCGCGCGCGCGCGCAACAAACTCGTTTCTTCACGCTGTAATGCCCCGCAACGCGAGACGCCCGCGGAAGCTACTCGCGTTAATTACCTCTCCCCTCCCACCCGCGCGCGCGCCCGCCTGAAAGATAATTCCCCGCGAATCTCGCGTCACGTTACATCAGCGTTTCCTTCGCACCTACCGCGCGCGCTACCGTTTTCTAAACGCGAGCGCCAACGCGACGCGAGAGATTTCGGGCGAGAGACTCGTCGCCGGCTTCTCGCGTCCCCGTGCCGCGAATTCGGCTTGGGAATTTCAGAGCCCTCTTGACCTCGCGGCCCTCGAGTCTTGTAGAGTCCGGCAAACTGAGAGAAGAGAGAGAGAGAGAGAGGGGCGAGGCCCCTAAAGCGCAAAAACAAAAAATACAAGAGTATACAAAAATGAAGAGTGTTAGCATTTTTACAAAAGTGTTTTAAAAGTGAAATATCGGAGTGCTGTAGTAAAAGAGAATAAAATAGTAGAGAGCCGAGAGAACGTCGTAAAGCGTCCGGATTAAAATCACCGCGTCGACGGCTCGTGATACAATCGCGAGCGCACCTTCCTCGACAGATGACTCTTCGGACATTCTCCGCGCAGCGCTCGTTTCGACGGTGTCGCGTTGCACCGAGAGGCGCTCCTCCGGATTAAACGTCGTCGTAAAAAATGACCTTCGCGAGAAAACGCCTCTCCTCCCTCGTTTCTTGTTCCCTTCTTTTCTACCTCGAGCCGTGTTATCTCTGCGACGCGCAATTTAAAAAAAAAGCGACGCGTTCGATTTCCGAGCGGAGATAGCGCGAGGCCTAGCGTCGCCCCGCGAGAGATAGAGAGTTGCTTTCGATTAAATGCAACCGCGCCGGAAGTGATCTTCGAGCGAGCGCGCGCTGTGTCGAAAATCTGCACCTGCCAAAAGGATTTCTGTTACCGAGACGGACAATACTCTTAACGCATTTACATTTCTCACAACCTCGTTTAGTATAAAAATACAATACCAAAATAAAATCGATAATTCTTATTCTCTTCTATCGAAGTAAAAAAGATTGACTTACTACATCGCGACAAGAGTAACTTTATATATTCTCGCGTTTAGAATAAATTTTCCCTCCATCTTACAACGCGCAAAGTTGGCATCGCGATATTCGACAAAAGGACGATACATACTATCATTTTATTCTAGATTTTAGAATGTTTCATTCATGATGAAAATATTCCATTCTCTATAAGTTGGCGCTACATCGATCCTATTTTATGACACATTGAAGCGTAGTAGCATTGGATCCGGAAATGTTTTCTGTGGGTGTGAGGGAAAGGGGCTTTGCGCGGAATCGATGAGTCCCTGATAAGCCGGTTCTCCGATCAAATTTCATCTGACACACACGTAATTTAATTGGAAAAATTAACCATTCGAAACACTATATTCAATCGGTTTATCCGATGGAAATTGCTCTTAGAGTACGAGCGCGCGTAGCTCGTGGATCATGAGATTTCTCGATCTTGTTCTCGAGGCAAACTAGTCCACGTAGTTGAATAACAATTCCGCGACGGTGTGTGACACTCGCGTTCGCGGGGGAGGGGCAAAAAAAACCCAACGCGGAAGCGCATTCCATCGCGCTGAACGATGCAATTCCGCTCGCGGTCGGCGCGACAGCGAGGGTCCCAATTCCGGCGACCTTCCTCTTCCGTTTGATGACAGAGAAATCTCACGGTGGAGTCACGTTGACGTCAAGGTGGTGGGAAACGCGCTCGCGCGCGCGTCTCGTCCTCGCGGATAAATTTAGCCCTTTACCGTGCGATTTTAGGGGCGTCACTCCCTCTGACCTTTCCGAATGAACGGGACCGCGTGTGCCGCGGAAACTCTCGGGATGGGAGGAGCCGAGAATCCGGGACGTATACGTGATCGAGAGGGGCTTCCGAGAAAAAGCTCGAGGGCTTCGGCATTTCCAAGCAATTGTCTCAATTATCCGGGAAGGCGGATTACAACGGGACCCCTCGCCGGCGCCTCCGTTTTTTTTTTTCAATAAAATCGAACGTGACGTACCGAGCGCGAGAACGACGGCGGGCCGATAACGCGACGGCGCTCTTGGCAAAATCGCCCCGGGGTCCCCAGTGAGGACGCTACACCCTCGGGGAGGATTTCTGTCTACCGACAGATAAAGTATTCTTGACGCATTTATCTTTCTCACAACCTCGTTTAGTATAAAAATAAGACAGTGTCAAAGTAAAATCGATGGTTCTCATTCTCCTCTGTCGAATTAAACAAGATTGAGACAAGAGTAACTTATACAAATGTAAGTTTATACTATTCTTGCGTTTAGAATAAATTTTCCCTCCATCTTGCAACGCACGAAGTTGGCACCGCGATACTCGACAAAGAGACCATCGTTTTATTCTAGATTTTAGAATTTTTCATTTACAAATATCCCTTTCTTTATAATAAATATGACTGGCGCTATATCGATCCTATTTCGTGGTACATCGAAGCGTAATAGCGTTAAATCCGAAACATTTTCCTGCGGGTGTAACGCCGAATCGACGTCAATGGAGCTGCGTCCCGACTACCAGTTTTCGAAAAATAATTAAAAGCTTTTCCGGGTCGAAATCTCGGCACTATTTTGACACTTTTAAGGGTAATTTGCACCCACTTAGCTGATCTATACACCTACGTAGGCCAGCAATAACCTACTTTGATAACATTAAATTTTTGTAAGCTCCCTTGAATCTTTAATTCTAAAAAAGTTACTTTAGCTTCTACTTCAAAGGACCTACTTTAATGCTAAATTGGAAACAGTAGAAATTTCCGATACTATCAGTTTCGAAGTAGGAGTAAATGTACTTGCAGTTCGACCTCTTTTACTGTCTTAGGTCCTACTGCATAATAGAATTAAAGGTTCAACTTAGGGCCAAAATTTCGACTCGGGTTGGAACTTGGGTTTTTGTATTAAATTTTGTATCAACGTGAGGGGATGCTGGAGTGATTCTGCACTTTTGCACCTTTCTAACTTAGGAACTGTCGGTTCACGGAAACATTTGTGTAATATACAAATTAATTGAATTGAAGACGGCATCACTGAAACTTATAAGTTTGTAAATCTAATAAGAAATAATAGTGAGCAACTGTACGTGTGTGTGTTGTGCAATATTATTTTTCATTAGACTTACAAACTTAGCTTCAGTGATGCTATATTGTTCTTTAATTTAGCCAGAATAGCAAGCTGCGCTTTCGATCTATACACGTAAGCCATTTGGTTTGTATATTACACAAATGTTTCCACGAAGCAGACGGTTTTAAGTGCAAAAGATGCAAAAGTGCAGAATCACTCCAGCATCCCCTTTGAACGTTGAACGTGCACGGAGAGAACTTTCTTTTAAAATTTATCCTGAAAGTTGTGTGATCCTCAATTTAATTTTAACTTAATTTAATTTATTGCTAAGTAAGAGGTCCAGAGTACAGAGAAATACGATATTAGAACGACCGTGGGACAACACGGCGTTTCAAGAAATTTTGTGAGTTCTTTTAAATTTTACCATACATTTCACTAGTAAAATGTATGGTAAACTTTGAGAAAACTCTCATAAAGTCGTTCGAAATGCCACGTTGTTGTACGATCGCATGATTTTCAGGCTAAATTTTAAGAGAAAATTCTCTCCGTGCGTTAATTTAACACGAAGAACAAAGTCCTCGAACTTTTAATTATTTCCGAAAACTGACGGCTGGGACGCGGCTTCGATCCCGTTGACGTCGACGTTCGACGTTGATTCGACTTCGGCGTCCTCACCGGGTTGTGAATGGCGAAATGGGTCACGATCGAGCGAGATTTCCCGGCGCGGCGCAACGAAGGACGAAATGGAGAAGACCTCGTCGTCGGGACGCGGGACGCGGCGAGCGAGGAGTCTCGCTCGGGACGCGCGCGATACGCTCCATCTCGCGTCGCGTGAGAGCCGAGGGGGGAGGGGGGGGGGGGACACGTGGTCGCCGCTCGAAATTAATTCGATCGGCGTCGATTGACTCGCGTTATTCGCTGCGGCACGTCGCGATATGGGTCGGACGGGCGGACATTGTTGCGTGACGCGCAAGGCCGAGGTGGAGTGGAAGCTGCGCTGGAAGTGAAGCGAGAAAAAGAGAGACGTGACGGGGCCGTGAATGAAGCAGTCGCGTACGCGCGGCGCGGCTAAACGGCGCGGTTTAGCGAGAGCTATCTCCGATACGCGTCCGAGCGGCGATTTTTCAATCGGAAAACGATACACGCGCGCGGAAACGTCGTAATTAAAGCGCGCCCACTCGCGTCCACGCGCGCGTCGTTAAAGCGGCGGCGCGTTTTTGCGCGAGGGACTCGCGCGAGGATCGTCGGTTACTTCGAAAGTACGAAACGCGACCGCTCTGTTCCTCCAACGTAGGGTCAAGATCGGAACGCGAGTCCGTCCGCGCGGGAGGTGAAACGACGCTCGTTTCTTTTTTTTTTTTTAATACAACGCCTCGTCTCACTCGCGCGTGTGCGATTTCAAGTGTGTCCAGGACTGGCGCGCGGTGAGATAATTTTATACGAGCGCGTACCAGTGCGCCATCGAGAATCGATCTTCCCGATTCATCTCCGCTCACACTTTCCCGAGAAACTGATGCGCGATGGAAACGATTTGAGCGATTCGGTGTAAGTGTACCAGCCCGGAGGGCATCGATTACCATTCGCCGGAGGCGGAAAGAGGAGCGCTACCGCTCGCGAGTGTGTTCAGTGCGATTCTCGGAGCAGAGAGAGAGAGAGAGAGAGAGAAGGAGCGAGAGCCCCGGTTTTTCTCTCCTCTCGCACGCCGCGAGAAGACACGGCCAGAAACGGGCGGAGGCGCGAGTGAAATGACACGGGGCAGAAGCGTTAATTTAGGAAAGCCAAGCGCCGGACCGGCTCGCGATACCGCGCGCGCACACACGCGCGCGTGAGCAATTCAATTAAGGGAGCGCGGGCGTGCGTGCGTGCGTGCGTGCGTGCCCGATCGCGCAGCGAGATAATTCACGTTGTACTCCTCCCCGTGGGATGAATGAACGTGACCCGCACGTTTCTTCCTCCCGCCCGGGTCGCGACGCAGAGAGAAGAAGAAGGAGGAGGAGGAGGAAGGGGAGGGGGCGAGAGGGAGAGCGAAGGATCGAAGGGTCGTGCGCTCCGATAAGGGCATCCCAAAGATTCGCGAGCCCCTGGTCCCCCGGTCGCCGCGAGGAAGGCGACGACGTGCTCGCGCACCGATCGTCCGAGGATCGCCCCGGAAGGATCGCGGCGCATCGCGACAATCCTTCTCCGCCGTAACGCAACGGCGCCCGAATTTTCCCGCGGTTAGCGCCGATCGCGATCCCGCGAGTGGGTTGGAGCAACATCGCCGCCGGCGAGAGGAGGAGGAGGAGGAGAGATGTGCCGAGGGCATCATCTGCTCGACGTGACACAACGCGCCGGCGGTCCTCTCTCTCCCCCCCGCGATGCGGATAGATGCGACGTGGGAGGATCGTTATCGGGCGGGCAATAAGGTCGGGAGCAATTGATCCCTCGGCGCGGCGTGTGTCGGTGGATCTCGCCGGTTGATCCGGACGCGCGGACGACGACCGCCGCCCTTCCGTCGGCCATGGATAGGAAGAGCGGAGGAGAGGCGCGGCCGAAGATCGAGATCGTGCGGGTCTCGTCCATCGAGCGCAGCAACTTCCGGCCGCTGGACGGGGTGCAGCTACGCGCGACCTACAGCCACGTGCGGGTGGGCACTTACTGCCCGGAACCGGATGCGGCCGGCGGGCCGGCCGAGACCAAGCCGCCGGTCGAGCAAGCGCGGCGCTTCAAGAAGTGAGTGACTCCTCGCGTCGCACCTCCTCGATATCGATATTATTTTCCTTTAATTGCGAGAGGGAGAGAAAGCGAGAGGGGACGAACGCGCGCGCGCGGAGTATTTCGTTATTGCCGCGAAACGGGGCGTAATCAGCTTCGCGAAGATAACGGCCGATCGATAGCGTCCATGTTCTTCTTTTTTTTTTGCCGTACCTTGCACGTCACCTCGTAATCTAATAAGTTAGAAGCGGTAGTAAATCATTTTTCCCTTTGCTCCCCTTGGGGCGAGGGGGCGAAACGACTTGAAAAGTGCGCTTGCGTCCTTGCAGAAATTTGGGACCAGTATCAAGACTGCTGAGACGTCGTCATCACGCGACATGCCTTGCCACCAAATCCTGTGATAACATTTATAGCGTGAATAGGAATAGTAATTCTCTGGACTGGAGAGTCAACCAGAACGCCAACGAACAAGGTAATTCATTAGCTCCGTGACTCACCGCACCGCGGACTGAAGAACTCGCGAGCTGCCGCTCAATTGCGACTCTCCCTCGCAACGTGCGTCTCTCTTTCACGATTCGTCATACGCGTACGATTCTTTTCATTTTTGTTTTTTTTTAATATTTGTATTTTCCTCCTTTTAACTCTTGCGCGTCTTGGAAAAAAAAAGGAAGTTTTATTCAAACGCGCGTGCATCGCGTCGCTCGATCGATGACTTTACTTTCCATTTAATTTAAATTAACATTCGTTCGTCGTTCAAGGGGAAAAGAGTTTATTAAATTGAATTAAATAAAAAAAATTGAATTCACCTCTAATTAAATTAAGTTAAGTGCATTTCCGAGAGGGAGATGCAGCCGCGCCTCGTCTCCGCGATTGAACCGTCGACAGTAGTTCGCGGTCCGAATCATCTTCCGTTCCTTTCCCGCTCCAGATCTGCAAGCCAGGCAGAGCAGCAGCCTAGACTGGAGGGTAGGAAGGTCCGTCACTTTCAGCTCGAATCGGCTCCACTGGGGTAGCGCGACGCGGAGCGCCGAGCAGCTTTCCAGGAGCGCGCCTCTCACTTCCGATCATCTTCAGACGCCGAGCACGAGGTATGCTAATGCCGCGCCGATCCGCCTCGCGTGCAGATCCGTTTCGCGCACGCAACGAGAGCAAATAATTTATGACGAGCTTCGCCCGGGAGCGCGGCCGCCGAGCAGAAAAGTATAACGGTACAAACTTTTGCGAGTCGAGAGGAAATTCAGCAGGCAGTAATGACGCGGAGGGGAGGTTTTAGCGAGCGGCGAATCGCGATAGCGTCGTGTACGTACGTACGCACACGCAGCTCGCGCGAGGATACCGGGAAAAACGCGCGGTGTTCGAGTTACATTGGAAACGGCAATTAATTTGCTGAAAAACAAAGAGCCGGGGTAACGACGTCTCGCTCTCGGAAGACATGCAATGGGAATGTAAAACTCGGCGGAAACGGCCGCTCGCCGCGGAAAAGGAAGATAAATTGGCTACACTTTTGCGAAATAATTAGCGAGAGGGCTGCGCGGGGCGTACAGTGGATCCCGCTCGTTCTGGGATTCGAAGTGTAGTAACAACGACACTGACGCGAACAGGAACGTTTAATCGAATATCTTCGATCTCGTGTACGAGGAGACAGAAACAACCCGAGGAGAACGAAAAGTCAGGACGATGTCAATTTGAGTTTTGGTCAATTTGATGCCACATTGACCAAAATTCGACATAAATTTGGTCAATACGACATCAAATTGGCATCATCCTGACTTTTTCTTCTCCCTGGGAAAGGCGCTTGATAAGTTTCTTATTAGCTACAAATAACAGTTTTCACGTACACACTTCTCTCTCGTTTTCTCATTGCGCGCCGGTAAATGCGTGACCGCGAGGTATCGCTTCAGATCGAAACTTGTGTCGCTATTGAGACGACTCTCCCCGCGCCTGTCCCGACCCGGAAGCAAGGGCTCGCTGCAATCGTCGCCGACGATTTGTCCCTGGGTCCAAGTAGAGTACTCGGCGGAATCGATCGAGGCCGGCAAGCGAGAGGAGGCGCAGGAGAACGACGCCAGCTTCCAGCAGGAATTGCAGTTGAACGAGCTGCGGAAACGGATGGCCGGGATTGCCTCCACGTCCCAGGTGATTGGTAATCTGCGTAAACGTCCCCGCTCCGTCCCGGCACGCGCAATAATCAATAGCTGTCTAATTACCAGTCTAGACTAGAGAAAAGTCATCAAACTCGCGCCGGTGGTCGACCACGGGCAGACGAGCGCGCGAATATTCGCGATAATAGCCTGCGTCCGGCATTGCAAATCCGTGGCATCGGGGCGCTCTTTTGCATTCGAGTGAGCGAGAGAGGAGAAAGGGAGGAGGAGCACTCGGACGCCTCGGATTTGCAAGGCCGAACGCAGCCAAGGGATTAACCTTGTGCGCAAACACATCACGCGCGCAACAACAAAAAAATTTTAACGCAGTCTTCAAGATATTCATAATTATTTCAGAATCTTAAAAAACCCTTTTTTTCTCGACGGCTCTCTACGAGAAGCAGAAAATAAAAAACGGGGCAATTTCGCAGCCCGACCGATCGATCGTCCAATCTTCTTAATGTGGTAGCAGCAGTAGTTAAGCAACGATCAATCAGACGAACGAATTTACGATCGCTTAAAGAATGTCCGATTAGGTCACCCGGAACGGAGCTGCAGCAGAGGTGCGCCCATTAATAACTTCCGGCGCGGATCGAGCCCGAAATAGAGTACGGCGCGAGAGGAAAAACGCGGCGGGTAAACTTCTCATTCAATTCGCCGGAGTAAACTGAACTTTCTTAACGAGCCCTTAGAAGCCATTCACCCCCCCCCCCCCCCATTCTCGCCGCGGACTCCGCACTAAAACGGGTTCTATTACGTTCGTCATTCAGGTCACGACGAAGACCGCCAAGGATGGCGCGGGGCAACCGAGTCTGCCGCGACCCAGGATTCAGGTGCAGGAACCCGAAACCGAGTGTAACCACCGGAACGTCCGTACAACGTAAGCCTTTACTCTTCTCTCGATCTTTCTTCTCTTCTCCCCTTCCTCCCCGCAGGCGACTCGACACGTTTTGTCTCACCGCGATTGACAGATTGTCGCAAAACGAGACGCGCGCGCGAGAATCGTTAACGTCCAACTTCCACGCGCGTTTCATAAGTTTCAAGCGAAAGAAAAGTCTCCGGATGCTGGCGAACAGCACTCGAAATCTACCGAGGGAGACTCTTCTTTCCGGCATCCCGCTATAGCGCAATTCCCTCGCTGCACTCACACTTCAGCAACTTCACCACTGCATGAGCCCGTACGTACGCCGTGACTCTCGCGCAAGTGAAACGAAGGATTTTCTTTTGTGCCGTGTATTATACCGCATCCAATAAACAACTGTGCGTACGCGTTTCCCGCATTGTGATCTCAATCACCACCTTGGCAAAATCACCGTGAAACTTTCGTAACATTCAGCACACAAATTCGCTAACGCGCGCCGATCATCTCTTAGAACACATTTATTAAAAACAAAATCCTAGGAATTAGAAAGAAATAATTTTACAATTGGCGTTTACACACACACACGCGCGCGCGCGCGCGCGCACACGCACACACATATATATATATATCTGTGCACGGAAATCTCTCGTTTGATATCGCAAGTAGGAATTATTCTCGAGATACCCAAGTATCTCGATCGTAAATCTGTTGTCGGCAGCTTTGACAAAACTTACCGCGAACGTGACAATAAACTTATTAAAATGGGGGTACTATATTCAATTATACAAAAAAATCAATCGGAGAGCATTTAGAACGTATTAATCGCTAAATGGATCATTCGTTTCACGTTCACAATTTTACAAAACGATTTCTCTTCCTGTTCTTTAATATTCGCCGATAAAGCAACTCGCGATCATTGTGGAAATGTCTTTTGTGATGTACATTTCATATTTCAAACATATATATATATATATATATATATACACTAAATCCTAAATATCAAAGAAATACTTTTCTAATAAACATATATATACCTAGTTGAAGTTAAAATTTGCGGTTGAACACTTTTACGAACACGTCGCCCTTGTACATTTTCTTTCGGAAATTGTATTATCCACCACTTAAATTAGCAGCTTCCATAAAAAATATAATTAACGTGCGTGCGCGCCTTTTGTAAGTTTTTCTGTAACAAGAAAAATCGCGGAGAGATAGGCGATCTACGTTGGCGCGCGTGATGGGCACCGGTGAATACGTTAAAATACGAACATTAGTTTAAAAGGAAAACCCCTCTTTTCATTCGTAAAGAGACTGTTGCTCGTCTCTCCGAAAATATGTCGACTGTAAAAGCAACGGTCACGCCGGGCTTGAAACACGAACATCGATCTCTCTCAACAGAATGATGTTGATTCGACTAAAGAATTGTACTATTCATAATATGTGCACACGAAGGTGTAAGAATAGCCATCGTAGAAATGATTGAGGTACTTTTGAAGACGGGACACCATGGCTGATCTGTAGACTAGACATAAATGGTTGTCCCGCGTCGGGATCTGGATCAGAGTACCGTCCTGCTTGCCAGGATCCACGAAGTCTATCGTGTCCTCCGTCTTCGGTATGCCTTTGGCATCCTCGACATGGAACTGAATTATCACGTCGAGCAGGAAGTCGCCATCCTTACTGACAGACTCGTCCTCACTGAGAGGATCGTCCTTCCTGATAAACCTCTTAATCATGGCCCCAAAAGGATCAACCGTGTTGAGATCGCACTCGTTGCTACTGGCTGATGTGCCGCTACTAGACAACCTCTCGTCTGAAGAAGACATCTCGTCCGTGTCCGTGTCACGTTCGTGCTTACTCGAACACTCCGCGTCAACGTCCGATTGGCTGTCACTGTCCGGGTGCCGTTTTTTCTTGTCGGGCGAATCCGCTGAGGAAGGAGAGTCGTCGATTCGTCCCCTCTTCAACTCCCGACTCCGCCCCACCACGTCCACGTCGGTCTCACTGGTCGAGACACCCGAGGTCGACGCCACTGCGGTGGTGCTCACGTTATCGTCGATGTTCGTCGACTCGTCTGTGTCTTCCAACAGCGATCTGTCGTACAGCAACGTGTAACAGCCCGACGACCACCTCTGTAACTCCAGCGTCACTTTCGGTCTCTTGGTCTCCTCGGGCACCAGGTCGAGCCCCGTGTATTTCGCCAGCAACCGAAAGAAGGAGATAGACCTGAATAGATCGCAGAAGTCTTTGAGCGGCTCCGGCAAGGTCTGCTCGTCGGCTGTCTCGTAGCGACGCATGTCCGGTGGGCCGATCATCCGCCAGCTGATATCCCGCGACGTCAGTTCACTCGCGACTCGCCGGTACGCGGACTCCTTCAGGAAGCCCTTGAGAAGCGTGTAAGACAGCATCTCGACGTCCTCGTGAATCTGCTCCATTATGCCGGGCGTCAGGTATTGGGCGGGGATCCAGGAGTGCAACTGCACCTCGGTGGGGCTCGGTTGCACCAAGGCCCTCGCCGGCTCGCTGGTTCTCGCCAACTTGTGGAGACTCGTCCCTAGCCGGCCGTGAAACCAACCGTTGAGCGACCACCTGCACTTGTCCGTCAACACCTCGGCTACTTGATGGTAGGAATTGTCCTCCACTTCGAAGAAGACGAACGAATTGTACTCTGGGATTAACGACCTTACTATCTCTCTGGGCCAGCCTTCCTCGTCCGTGTCGAAGATATCCAAGGCGCCGCCGTCCTCCTGCGACCAGTCTTTGGTCAGATACAATATGTAAGCGATCCTTCGGTCGTCCATGTTGTCGTCGTGACACAACAAGCGGTCCGTATCGCGGTAACGGGCGCTCGACATCGAGACATTTCCGTTTAGCTCGATGCTCATGTTTCGCTGCATCCACTTTACCAGGTCCGTGCAGAAGGCTCGGTTCAGCCTCTGAATGCACTTGTCGGCGGCAGAGCACAGGTCCTCGGTTTTCTCAAACTGATAGAGATCGAGGACTTTCCTCGTATGCTTGTGACGCTCCAATTCGCTCTTCAAGTCCTCCAAGACGCTCTCGTCCCTCAAGAAGTTCGATATCCTGCACACTTTAAAGGGTCTCGATACGATCTCCAGGTTGGCGGTCTTAAAATCGCTGCGGGAGTGCCAGTGCCTTTGGAACTCCTTCTGGAGCTTGGCGCTGTTGACGTGCTCCGAGAACAAGGTCGGGTCCGCCATAGTCTCCTCGTTTCTCCCGGGCTCGACGTGGAAATCCTGGGCCCACAAATCTACTCCTTCCCTTCTCTAATAGACGACTTTGGCGGCGAGATAGTGACGCATTACCGCGCTACCGCGGCAGAAATTCTCCTAAGCGTGTTCAACGCAGAGCGGCCTCCCCCTCGCGCCGTAAATAATTGTATAAATAGCATAACATGACTGTACCGAGATACTCCGTTGGCTCGCTCGATCGGACGATCCCGAGAAAGTGCCGTCAATCGTTACCGGCCGCGCGCTCCTTCCCGCTCCTGGCAGTCTCGAACGCACGTGACACCTCTGGCCTAACCTCTCCGCGGCTCGCCCCGATTTGTCGGCCCCGCGCGGCGAAGTCCCGTCGGCGTGTCATCCAGGACGACGGACGGGCCGGTCGGGGTCTCGTCGGGCGGACGCGTCGATCAGTTATCCCCAATTGTCCCGGGTTGCGTAAAGTCCACGTGGGGTCCCCAGTCGCGTGCCACGTGTCGCGCCCTGCGAACAGAAGGAACGCCGTTAACCGCGAACGTTGCTCGCGCGCGGCCGTGCGGACGATTTTTCTCGCGATTTTACGTACCATGGAAATGACGGCGAACGCCGATGCGCCACGGAGACCTGTCTCTCTCTTCGTACGTGCGTCGTAAACACACGGCGTTACGGCGCGGCGACACAGCGCAACGCGCGCGCAACAACGTCGATCCGACGACCTCGGGCGCTTCCGCGTACTAACCTTTCGGAGAACGTCCGTTCCCCGACGTCGGGAGTGTAGCACTCGCGACCACCGGCGCCTTTTGTTATTGACTTAACTGTCAATTCAATTAATTTTATCGTGGATTAACTTGTATCTCAACCAAGTTCAATTTTCAAGGCTGTTAACTTTAACTTAACTTATTGCGAATTCGATTGCTTGCACTAGTGCGCACTGAGTGCACACTCGGGCCAGTTTGTAGTCAATTTTTATATTTAATTTTATTGTCTTAAGTACATGTTCAAAGAGCGTTTGGCCAAAAACTGATCCGTATGGATGCTGTACAGATTATTTTACCGGCTACGAAATATTCCAAGAGATATTTAAGACGATTTTTAAGTACAAAAATTGATTGTAAGCAAGCCCTGGTGTGCACTCAGTGCGCACCAGTGCAAGCAACCGAATTCGCCGTTAGTTAAAAAAAAAGATAACCTACCCAACCCTGCTAATATTACACTTGTAACTAAAGCTAACGTGACATTTGCCGTACGAATTTTTCAAGCGCGTCGATTGCCCGCAGAAAATTTCGAGAGGCTCGACGACCTTTCGACACGCTTGCAAAACTTTGCCGCGCGACAAACGTAACACCAGCCTAACTTGAAGCCCATCACACAATGGCTGCGTTCAGCAGAAAAAGCTGCTTTGCAACTGTTGCAAAATTCTTGAATCTGATTGGCGTATTCTCTTAAACTTGAGTGAATTTAAGAGCATACGCCAATATCAGATGCGTGAATTTTACAACAGTCGCAAAGCAGTTTTTTTCTGCCGAACGTAGCCAATGCCAGGCAACAGGCAATAGGAATAGGGAATAGAATTTTTGACGCGTTGGATCCGTCGAAAATTTTCTTCCAACCAATCCAACGCGTTGGAAATTCTATTCCCTGTTCCTGTTGCCTGTTGCCTGACATTGTGTGATAGGCTCGAATCGTCGGAGACTTATCGAAACGCAAAGAAACGGACGTAAAGACGGGGAGAATATATCCACGGTTCTGTCGGCGCGTTTAAAGTTGGCGCGCCGCCGCGCCGCCGGGCGGCGCCCGCGTCGCCGTGGCAACATGGCGGGCGCGTGTCACGTTTGACGGGTGCGACGTTGTGCGCGGTGTCGCGTGGAGCGAAGAGACTCGCGGAGCACGGCCCTGGGAGCCGCCGAGTGATCGGCGCCGAGCGAGCGAGCGCGGTGTTTCGCGACGTGACGCGACGCAACGGTCGCGCAGTGTCCGACAGCGTCGCGGGAGACTCGTCCGGCCGGCCATCCTGGAGCCCGACACCTGGGGGACGCGCGCATACCGTGAGTAAACATTGCAGTTTGGCGTAACGTGACAAGTCCCGGTCGCGCACGACCGTCCGCCACGCGGTTTCCCCCCTTGTCGGACGACGGCGGACTCCGCCGTCGCGTCGCGGCGCGTGCACGTTGCCTGCGCCTCGGCGTCGCGTCGCGTCGCGTCGCCAACGCCACAGCTGAGGGTGCGGTTCTTCCGGAGTCGCGGGTAAACACCTCGTCCCAGGACACGCGGGCCAGTCCGCCGGGTGGTCGCCGAGTGTCCTCCCCGGTTGGCCGCCGCGAGCGGCCGAGCGGTCGCGCCGATCGTCCACGGCGCCGCGGGATATTTCGCAGGACCTGTTCTAGGTATATCGAGATCTCCCATCTGTCTAGATTTCGGACGGCTGTGTATCGGAGCACCGAGAGAATAGAAGCGAAAAGCCGCGCGGGGCGACGGTCCTCTCTGCCGCCGCCCGAGACTCGCGATGGTCTTCCAATTTGGTCGGCGCGTGCTCGACTCCGCCCGGTGTGTTTATCCCGGGCGCGATTACACCTCTTTACCGGGCGGAATCGCTGACGACGCTCGGATGACGCTACATTTTCCAAACGTGACGATTCACGTCGCCAGATTAGGGTCGATCGTCGTGCCTTCGTCCCACACGTCATCGTCGGAGCGGCACTCGTACCGCGGGCACGTTCGAACGGCACGCAGCCGGCCGCGGAGTCATCGATCGGCCGCGGCACTCGTCGCTCCTACGCGAGGGGATCTTTCTAAAACGTCGGTTCGTCCTAGGCGCGCGGGGGAGGGAGGGCGCGGGTGGTCCCACGTTAATCGTGCCCCGTGGATCGCGGGGATTATCTCGCGCCGGCCTTGAGCCGACACCTTCCTCGCGTCCCACGGCGGGAACGGGCCCTCGAATTTTTAAAAACGGCGCTGCGTCTCGCGGAGGCGAACCAGCCGGCGGTGTCTCTCCTCAAGAGGGGGGGGGGGGGTGCTTCTACGCCCGTTATTATTCGAGTCGCAGATTGCGCGACTTATTTATCGATCAGCGAGCGCAGTCACGTGCCCGATACGCTGCACTTCTTATAGCCCGCTCTCCAATGTCGTACACCTCGCCCGTCCCGAGGCGAAAATCCGCGCGCGGAGATACACCGCGATTGTCGACACCGCTCGGCCGCGGCGAGCCGATCGGCTCCACTTTCTACAAGTTTCCTCGCCAATTCGATCACTTTCTTCCTGCGATTTCAGCACCGGCGATCGGCCGGTGCAATTTCGTCGACTTTCGTCTCTTGTCCCGCGGAGCCGATCGTGTCGAGGAGGCTCGTACGTGTCTCGGTGGGTCCGGTTTTCCATTTCGAGAGAACACGCGCTATTTTCGAGCGCTTGGTACAGCGGGAAGTCCTCTGTTATGAGACTGGCTTGTGACGTGAGGTTTTCAACGTGAAAATTGATTAACAGGAGGAAATCTTGCAAATCGCCAGAAGTAATTAAAAACTTGAAAAGATCACTTGACCATGTCTGGCACATTTTTATGTTTAAACTCGCAGCGTTTCGACCGAGAGGAAAACCGCTGAGGGCAGTAGATGATGCCTTATTAATTTAGCGAAAGCCCCGCTATCTCATACTAGGAGCTTATCTCACGACAGGGGACTTTCCTCTATAAATGTCAACGTCAACGATCTCTTACTCCGAGCGCGAGTCAAAGTCACGCAAGTTGGGCGCTTGGGTCGCACGGGAAAAGAACGCCGGGCTCTTGATAGGATGGGATCGTGCGCGCCCTAATCGATGCACCCCCCGCGCTGCGATGAGGGTTCATTATCCTTTCTCCTCTACGCACGCTGATAGGACACCTCCGGAGAGTGTCGGCGGTTTAACGACTGCGCGCCACTTCAGTCACTAAACTGTCAATCGCGTCGTTAAGGCTGCAGTTGAGGTTCGATTAACGCGTGTGTGTCCGTGTGCGCGTGAACCGTTACGCGCATCTGGTATTGGGGAAAAAAAAAGAACGGACACGCCGACACGCATAACCCATTTATTTCATCCTCGCGCGTGATGTGAAAATCGAATTAGCCGGTTTCCGCCGGAAAATTTAGGGGAAATGAACAACCCACGTTCTCCCCCGAGGTTCGAAAGACAAATTGAAAAATTGCGTTTTTTCTCCGGAATCCAGAAATGTATTCAATCTGCAAAAAGGGCGAGAAAGAAAGAGAGCAGCCGCGATTGATTTTATGTTAATTTAGGCGCGACAGCGCGTTAGGCTCGTATCAGACTACGGACTGAGATTGAGATTGGATTGAAATTTGACCAATTAGAGTTAAAGTCGCTGAGCTTGAGATTAGTAAACTTTACTCCCGACTGGTCGAACCTCAGTCCGTAGTCCGATACGGGCTTAACAATTTTTTTATCCCAACGCACGGAAATGATTGGCTTTGAATTGGTCGAGCAATATTTCCCGATACACCCTACATTTCTCGCTGGCACCTGCTGGCAGCGAGGTCGTGAGATCACTCGGAGATTGTGAGAGAGTTTGATCAATGACGTACGAGCTTTAATAAAGCAATAACGGTAGTGTCCAAGAGCCCAAGGCTCTTACGTCGCTCATAACACGTAAAACGGATTTCACGACGAACTTTGCGAAAATGGACGAAAAGCTAAAAATTGCCCGCTCAACGTTATAATTATTACAAGTTTTGACTAACAGACATTGATTTGTAGCTGCGAAATTGAAGATTCTATGGGGTATTATTTGTACGACGATCCCTTTTTCCTCGTGAAAGTTCTTCGTCTGTTAGTTATAGATAGAAATATTAAATAAATACAAAAACTCTCTCTTTATGTCGGGAATAAAATTACCGTACTTTTTTATCCGCGTATCGCGGATTAATCATATTGGATAATGATGGTAATCAAACATGCCGTGGAATGCAAAATTGCAAGGCTTTTTATTGGTATCGTCGACGCATACATTACATTGTATAATGTGGGATGTGCAGCTCTAATTTTTATAATAGTGGCTTGCATTTTTTGTTACATTTCTAGGAGATTTCTAGAAGAAACTTGTGGGACAACTTTGGCATTTCGAAGAGCTCGTGGGAGTGTCTTGAAATTTCACCACACAATTTACTAGCAGAACGCGTAGAAGAATTTCAAGACACTCTCATGCAGTTCTTCAAAATGCCACGTTGTCACACACAGTTGGAAAATTTGTGTTTTCTTGTGAAAAGAAATGCCGGTTTTAACATATTGCTCTTGTGTTAATTGGCCTAGAATGTAAAATTATTAAAATAGCTGAAAAGAAATGTTAAAGCAACACAATGTGTACTTATTTTTTAATCTCTGTTCAAATTTACAGAATAAAATGTTGACTTTATTCTATATAATATAAGTGAGGGTGATTTCGAACCGTCATTTGACTTGTTACATCTGTAAAATGTAAAAATTTAAGTTTTCAAAATTCCTTTCGTCACTAAAAATATGTTAATTTTACAGAAAATTTATTTCAAATTACTTTAAGATTCGCATACACTTTGTGTTAAAATATTAACCAAGTATGTCATCACTTAACATATCCATATTATGCTAAATTAACACAAATTTGTCAACAGTGCGCGATAACACGGTTGAATCCTTGCAAAAATTGTGATAGAGAGGTCGACAAATCTGAAGGGGTCGAAATAAAAAGCCAATGCGAAAATCAACTGGAAACTAACATCAATATACATGTTGCAATGTAGTTGTGTTTTATCTCAATGAGATACGTTGAAGTAACACGGCTGGTCAGCGACGACCGGCGCCGTATGCAACACGTTAAAATTGTGTCGGCCGCATTTCCTTCTCTCTCTTCTTCGCGTAGCGGCTCGCATGGGGAGTTCGATTCGCTTATGGCATCGTCCGTTCGTCAG